GGGTGGGTAAGCGAATGGCGAAACTTGGGCGGCGGCGGGCGGTGGCGGCGCAGGAACCCCCCGCCGGGGCTAAGCCGCGGGCTGCGTCGGGTTGAGTGCTCCGGGGTGGGCGCAGTGGTCGCCGACGTCGGCGTCAATTGGGCGGCACTCGGCTCGGCATGAGGTCACTGCGCTGGATGCCCCGCCCGCCGCTGCCGCTAAAGTTTGCATACCCGATCCCGAGCGGCTTGCATCCTGCAATCCCTCTGCCGCAGCCATCACTTGCGCCCACCACCAACCCTATCACTGCGGTACACAAATTCCAATAGCGTTAGGAAGTTTGCGTTTGAAATAAACGGATTATCGTCACTGTCTCGGACGTTGGCGTGGGGCATTTTTGTTCTCTGATTAAAATAACTATGTATTCGACGTTTTTAAGATGCTATGATTTTGTCATAGAAAACAATTAGAAATATGTTAACTGTGGAACAATGTGATTTTTAAGGACTCAACATTGCATAGCGCGCTAATTACGTGAAAATAGAACAAACGGGCTTTGATTTCCCGAATGTTGCAGTGAATTAAGTAAACGGGTATCGAATCTGGACCCTTTGGGATCCATTTTAATCGCATCTTCCCAAACGTATAGTGAAGTTTGTTGAAAAAATTTAGCAGTTCTTACTTATAGAGTTATAGAATGATCCATGATGAGAGAAATAAAGCATTATTTTTTTCTTTTTCGATTGTTTTCAAACGTTTTGTACCATTTTCCCCTTCTGGGGTATATTTCTTCTTAACAACTTTTATTCAGACGCTACTATCTGTAACCTTTTTACCAACAGACTTGTAAGCGATTTCATTTTTAAAAAGATGGCCTTTTGTGAGATAATGTCTGAATGCTATCTTTTGTACCTCTCATTATCTTAGGGTAGCTTAGGAGTATCTGTTTTATTGCATATATTCTTTTTCCCGTTATCCCATCTGAAATCTCGCAGCTTATCATTGTATTCCGGGTCCCCAACGATTGCCGAATATTTTCTCTGTCAATTAGAGAAACAAGATGCGAAGTAGAATTCTTAGTTTGGTTCAAAGGGTAAGGTTTGGGGCGAAGGTGCAAAATGATTACTTGCGGTCCGTGGCCCACTAATGTAGTGCCCCAGAATCCGCAGGTATTGATCCGAGAAAACTCTGTAGACGACCGATAAAAGCAGCTCTTATTTACAATTCTCCACAGTTCTCGGCGTTGGCCCAACTACGAGTGTTTAGCACGTGTCGAAAATCCGTGACTGTCGGGACTCAAACTTAGGATTTCAAAGTCTACGAAGCTTTAGTTGGCGAGCACTCAATTACATGCAGCTGTGTAAGTGAGATTTTTAAAAACATGGGTTTTAAATGATACGTTAGTACACGAAAGGCGAAGATTGAGAAGGATTGAAATTTGCATTTGGAGACCGATATCCGTAATTTAATCCTTCCCAAACTGCAACAAATTAACCCCACACACACCCCTACTTCCTTCCTTCCTTCCTTCCTTCCTTCCTTCCTTCCTTCCTTCCTTCCTTCCTTCCTTCCTTCTTTCCTCCCTTTCTACCGCGAAGTGCCGTCCACATTTCACCGTACGCTTGTGAAAACATCGGGCAGCTTTCCTTCCTTCCTTAATACCTTATTTCCTTTCTTACTTTCTCTGTTTCTCCCTTCCTCCCCCTCCCTCCTTCCGCCCTTCCTTCATTCCTTCCTTCCTTCCTTTTCACCCTTCCTTCCTTCCTTAATATCTTCTTTCCTTTTTTTTACTTTCTCTGCCCCTCCCTTCCTCCCCCTCCCTCCTTCCCATCATTCCTTCCTTCCTTCCTTCCTGTCTTCCTTCCTCCCTTCCTACCGCGAAGTGCCGCCCCACATTTCGCCTTCTGAAAACACCGGGCAGCTTATCGCGCTGCTTTCGAACATTTCCGGGCGCATCTATCAAAGTTAGATAAAAACAGAAGCACGTTCCACGGGGCGGCGAGGTGGCGCACCGCGCTCTCACGCGCCCCCGGAGGATGAAGTCGAAAGGTTGACCGCCTCCAAAGGGGGGGGGCGGTCATGCGGATGGATAGCTAAAGGGGCGATGGTGGAGTTTGGATGGGCTGCGTGCGGTTTGGTGATAGATCGTGGAAGGGTAACAGATTGGTTGCGGTTGAATTACGGCTGAGTTAATAGTAATAATAATGTTAATAATAATAGTAATAATAATAATAACAACAACAATAACAATAATATGATTATGTCGGACCCGTGGCGCAGCCGTCATCTGTGCCGAGGAGGCTGCAGGTTCGAGTCCTGCGTAGACATGGTCGTGTTTGTGATTGTCCCTTCACCTGTCATCATCATCCAATCATCTCATAAGTCACACTACAAGACGTAACAACCTTGTTGTAATCCAAGGATACAGCTGAAAAGCTGATCCTGGAAGAAATACACACGTTAATCGTGTAACTTTGTCAGTCATGGCCTATACGCCAATAATAATAATAATAATAATAATAATAATAATTATAATAATAATAATAATAGTAATAATAATGATTATCTTATTGATATGGTGAGGTTGCAGATTGGTGACTGGTAGGTTGCGTGTGGGTTCGAGGTGAATTGCAGGTGGGTTACAAATACGTTGCAAGTGGATTGTTGGTAGATTGCGAGTAGGTTGCAGATAGGTTGTAGAAGGGTTGCGGATAAGTTACAGGGGGATTGCGGATATGTTGCTGATAGGTTGCGGGTACGTTGAGAGTAAGTTTCGGATGTATTCTTCATAGATTCCATGTGAGTTGCGAATATGTTGCTGGTAGGTTGCAGGTGAGTGTCTAGTAGGAAGCGGGCGAGTTGAATCGGTCCTCGGGTGGACGGCTAGCGGTTTCCGTAGGAATCGCGGGCGGAACGAGGGCGGGTCGCGCCACCGGCCCGGTCGCCGCCGCCTTCGCGTCCCCCAAGGAGGGGGAGGGGAGGTGAAGAACGAGGTCGATCTTTTGATTTATCGCCGGGCGCGGCGCGGCGCAGCGCGGCGGCTCGGGCCGCGCACGCGCGTGTGTGTGTATACGGCCAACCCACCACCGTCTCCTCCCCCTTTCGGCACGACGACGTTACCATTTGTCTTGGCAAATGTTATGCCGCGGAGCATATCTAATATCGGGCTTGTAACTGACAAAAAGAATTTATACGCGTACGCCGGTGGGTGGGCGCGTCCAAGAGGCGGAGGGACCGGAGGTCGACCCCCGACGCGCCCTCTGGTGGAAACAAAGTCATTGCGCGGTGCCGCGCCCGCGCGCCCCCTAACTCAAGCGCACGTCGGCGCGCGCCCATAAAAAGACCGCGGGCCGGCGTCCGAGATGGCCCAGATCCGATTCCCGATACGTTACCTCGCGGCGTGCAATTATTTAAGTCGTATATTCTTGGAAGCGGGAAACCGAAGCCTCCTATTTCAATTTCGAAGGGAAAGGGAAGGATTTGAGGTAAACACGCGAAGCGAGAGGTTTTCAAAAATACTTGCGCAGAGTGGTAGGACGATGTGTCTTCCTTGAATTAATATTGCGAGAGGCACGTCGTTATTGAAGGATGGACGTTCCTTTTCAACGTCACATTGTTTTGTAGACGAGGTTGAAGAGGAGTAGAATACATTTTACCTTCCATCAAAATACGTAATCAGAAACATCGTCGATGTGGAATTTAATTGCTCGTATCTCCACCGATGGCTTGGAAATTGTTTTATTCTACTGTAAGGTAATGTGTTTGGATTCAATTTACCGGTAAAAATCGGTACCGGTAGCTCAGGAAATCAACCAATGCAGTACTTGTGAGCGGGAGGTCCTGGCGTTCGATTCCAACGGTGGGAGGATTTTCGACACTAGGTTGTCAGCTAGGTCGAATTCAACCGCTGTCCAGAGGATAATTCTACCGGCCGGCTGCTCTGATAGGTAATTTTCCGCAATTTCTCCGATCAATACCAGATGAATACTAGAACAGTACCTTAACAAACGGGCAACGGACCACGCGCGGTCTTTCCTCCCACCTCCTTGTTCTACATTCACTCCTTACTTATACGCATATACACTCACATGCCTACACCATCACATGTGTTGGGAGACCTGTCGGGAGCTTACAGCGTGTCTCGGCTGGAGCGGTGCCCCGCTAGTGGAAGATTCCTGGCTGAAGAAAATCGCCGCAAGCCGACATAGGTCGGCGTCGGATCTAGCCAGCCAGCGAGGAAGATCACCGCCACCTTCTGCGATAAAAACATGATTGACGATTCAGACGTTTACATTTTTAGTATGTAAGAACGAACTACTGAATGGAAAATCGATTTTTCAAATACTTTTTTAATTTAATTATTTAGATTTATAACGTTGAATTGAAGAATATTCAATGCATTTTCAATAGTATTTTATGCGCTACGGTAATGCTTCGTTATTTCGTGAAGTCTGTCGGTCATAAACACAATATCTGGTCATGAAACTTTAAAACTGCTTGAAAAAAATGTGTGTCCTTCAATGTTCAACTCTGTTTATAGTGCGATTATTGTAGAGCTATAAACGTGATACTTAGAGCATCATTGCCTTTTTTATTTTCATGTTCACTTTCATATAACTTTAGAACATTGGCTCGTATTGCCAAATTATCATTTACGATCTTTTGTCGTTTATTAATTAATTAAGCGACGGATCATTCTTCATGGTTTGTTCTAATATGAATCTAATGAGAATATGGGGCCATCATTACAAAATGTCAACTAATTAAAAACTTTTCTATGTACGTGAAGTTTCAATTTTCTCTTGTTTAACTATATACAATGAATCAACTCCTGTGATATAGACCATCACGTTTGAATTGTTAAAATTGTTATGTCTAAATTTTTTGCTCGAGAAATGTATGTAACTCTAAATCACATTGCCAGATTGTAAAAAAATATAAACAGTCTACTACGTGGTGGCGAGTTATGATTTCCGAACCCGATCTTCTGTCATTTCATTTGTATCGTTATTCTATTGCAGGGAGGTTCAAGAGTGGCCAGTATGCAAAGGAGATAGTCACCCAGCAAGATGAAGTAAAGCTGTCTCCGCCAACGAATACAATTCCAATTAGTACCTTTCCGCAAGAATATCGAGTAATGAAAATGTAAGTCATAATATACAATTAATTAGCTTCTAAAGACCCTTAAGAACGTCAAATCTGTTAGTGGTAATAAATAATAGTTTCAAATTCCATTGCATTAATCAATCCACTACCATTCAACAGTTTAATTTTTAGAATCCAATACACTTCAATTAGGGGTGAAACAACACATGAAAATGTGTTAATTCATACTAATTTAATTTGAAGCTAATTCCGGTTGATGGAAATGAACACTAAAGTTATGACGAATCAAAGAAACGTAGGTAGACAGAACAATAATAAAACAATTACCACATCAGAAAATGTGAAATTTTGTTACATTTCAAAATTTACTACATCTCGTCTTGGAGTTAACGTGTTTCGATCTGCTGCTCTTCATTTGTTCCATTAGGATACCGCGGATAGGTTGAAGAGTGGCCACAGTGCAAACGAGGTGTAAAGCAACGTAATGCCTCTGATCGAGGGGATACGTAGGTGGCTCAGGGCAACAATTGATGCCCATTAATTCCTCTGAACGAGAATTCCTAGGGTTCGAGTTCCGACGGTTGCAGGATTTTCAACACTAGCTAGACAGCTAAGTCGAATTCAGCTGCTGGCTGGGGGATACGTCTGAGAGCTGGCTGCTCTGATCGGTAGTTTTTCGTGATTTATCGGATCAATACCAGACGCATGCTGGAGTATAACCCTAACAAACGGGACACGGACCGAGCGCGATCTTTCTTTCCTCTTCCTTCACCCATCCTCACTCCTTACTTACACACACAGCTACATGCACTGTACTACCACACATGTTGGGGGGACTAGTCAGGAGATGAGAGCATGTCTCGCTGGAGCAGTGTTGTCTTGGAGGGTGATAACTTGGTGAGATAAACCCCGCAACTCGACGTGTAGGTCGGCGCTGGAACTCGCCAACCATCGGCGGATAAAACCACTACCACCTTCCCCTTTAAAGCGTTCTCTACACTTATGGGAACAGAGACGTGCCCGCAAACATCAATCAATCAATCCCAGTCAGAGGAAATAGATGGCTCAGGGAGCAAATGTGGCCGCTGTAGCGGCGAGATCCCGCACTAATATCGCGCAATTTCGAAAATACAATCAACGTTTAAGAATGTTTTGCAAAATGACATAAGATAACCAATAATACGGGGAAAGTCAATAAGAATCTGCACTTTCGTTCTAATCGTTTGTAGGTTGACTCTCCTCTTTTGCAATTACCAAGCACAAGATGACGTTGTTTACTTACGGTAAATTTCAGCCTTGTCAACTTCACTTGAGTTGTTGTAATCATGGATACATCACTCTCCGTTTAAACCAAAAAGTAAAAATCATTCCTAATCTGTTTGTCGTGATCTCCATGTGCACAAAAAGCTGATATCCTTAGAAGGCATTCAGTACAATTCAGGTGCAATGTTGTTCCTTGGAGAAAAATTCACCAATAGATTAAACCATCACCATACTCAAACAAACATTAAGAATGAGAAAAGAACAAGATGTCTGCTCTCATCCAGTACTGACCCCCATATTGGGCACGTTTGTGTCCTGATTCTTAATTACCAATGAGCTACTATTGATGAAGTGTCCAGCCATGTGCACGTTAATCAGGTTTTTCAAACGAGAACGCCGAGATGGATAGTTGGAAAACATTGGTTTGCTACAAGACAACGCGTATCGGCATACCGCCTTCAAAATCTGTATTTCGAGGTGCTTTATCATACCGGTTGCAGTTCCGATCTTTTCACGTCTAATTACTATCTGTTTGGTCCACTTAAAGTATCTTTAAGAGGTTGGATATTTTCCTCCGACCTACAGATGAGGAATAAATGCATACATGGCATGCTGGTCTATCGATAATCCTTTGTTCTAAGAATATTGCGAAGCTTGTGAATCAGGCTCATTGAAAACCATGATTCCACTAAAGGAAAAAGGCTTCTTGTAAATTTTATAGCGTTGTTGCAATGAATTAATAAGTATTGAATACAGGTCCTTCTTGAAATACGCAAATGCGACAATTTATTTTTTCGAGTTCATTCTTCTTATCTTCCATTTGTGAAGTAACAGAGGAAAATATAAACGCTGCAATTCATTTCAATTTAATTTGAAGCGAATTCTCTTCTTTAAACCTTCTGAATATAGTATAGCAAGTGTCGAACCAAAAATATGTAATAAATGAATTTAAATAATAACAAAATATAAGTATCTGTAACTATTAAACAACGTGACGTGGCCATTTTAGAGCCGTTATTTCGACTTGAAGTTAGTACTTTTCAATCGATCATTTGTATCACGAATGTACTGCAGGTACGTGGGTTCAAGCGAGGTGCATTACAACGTAATGCCTCCCGGCCATAGGAAGTGAAGCAGGCTCAGTGAACGCTGCCCCACACGAAACGCGCATTCTGTGGCAGCGGCGGCGGCGATGGCTACCACACTACCACCACATTAAACCACCACACATGACGAGAGATGGATCAGGGGCATAGAGCTTGTCGCAATTGGTCCGGGAGATGGCAGATCCGCTGATGGGAGATAACTGGTTGGAAGATACCCTGCAAGTCAGCACCGGATCTCGCCATCCAGCAGGCCTAAAATCACCACCATCATCTCTCTTGAAAAAAACGTACTCTACACTGACGGGACTCATGGTATTTGCAGTTAACGTGCCCGAAATCACTAATCAATGTAGCAACTAAATAAAAAAATTAATTTAAGTAGTGACAAAAATCATATTAAGTGTCATATGTAATTGTTTAACTCCGTGACTTAAAGCCACATCAGAACAATTATTTCAACTTCCGAGTTAATACGTTTCGATCGCGAATGTATGTGGGTTGAAGCGAGCAACGTAATACCTCCCAGCCAGAGGAAGTGTAGCTGGCTCAGCGAGTGACGCCGGCCCACACGGAACGCGCATTCTGTGGCAGGCGGCGGCGTCGGCGGCGGGGGTGGCTCGGGTGGGGGGCAAATTGCCTGTGGCGGGGGGCGGGGGCGGGGGGCGGGCGTTTCCGCGCATGCGCGACCGCGAGCGTCAAACTGCTCACAACCGCATCCATCATCGCGGCCGGCAGATAGCCGCGCGGCGCGAGGGGACGGACGATCGCCGTTAATATTTCATTGGCGGGCGGGAGCGCCGCGGAGAACTGTTCACCTGCGATAACCGCAAAGAGTTCGCCTCTCAAATATTAATAACGCGGTCGACGGGGGGCGGGGGGGGGTGCTCGGATCGCCTTATCGTGCCACGCGACGCCACCTGCGATACCAATAGCCTCTTAACCTTGTTCTGGGGGAGGAGGAAAGCGTTGTTGGACTGTTGGAACGTTAACTTTTCTCTTTGCTTGTAGAGCTTGGGAAAGTAATATTAAACTTAACTTTGGCTTTCTCTTTACCTTTTGATTTAACCTTGGGGTCGTAATGGCGGACTTTTCAGTTTAACAGGTCGCGAACATTGATGGAGTTTTATCTGAAACACAAGCATTAAGTTGATTCGCTGGGTAAGTTAAGGTATCATTTATTTCTTAATTTGAATTGTTTAAATTGTCATTTTTGCGGAATATAATTTTAACTCTCCTTTAACTTGTTTGTTTAGAGAAATGAATATCGAATGCGAGGAGCAGCCAGAAAGTGAGTTTCCCTAGATCGTCATCAAAAAGGTAACACAGTTTCATGGAAACACTTTACTGTAGTAAATACGACGTACGACACATGTAGAACTATTTTTTCTCATAATTCCATCCAGAGACAAGACATTTACAATATCATGGACCCGACATTTTGTATAAATTTGTAGTAAAGATCTCCGCATGGGACAGATACCAATGTTTGACACCCACCTGAAACTCCGGGTCACTGTGATGCGCGTTGTGTTGACCGGGCAGCAATTTCTTGAGGTGTGAGCGATGGAAATCGCTGGTATAAAATACGAACTATTGGGTTGATCATCAAACGCCTCTCAGAGAAACCGCTGCAGAAGGTCCGTTATGAGCCCAGCGTTGGCCGTCCAAATGACCATACTTCCTGTGTATTCACTTCATGTTCTAACTACTGCAAAACACATAATTTATTTTTCACTCTACCACTGCCACTGAGCGTTGCATTGTGTACGATGCATTGTTTATCATTGTAAATGATACATAACTTGGCTAAAGCAGTTGTGAACTTAGAATCCGAAAATTTCAGGATATGGAAACTTGGGGATCAAATATGTTAATGATAAAATGACAACGATGTATCGTTAAGTTGCTTTCCACCACCTCATTATCTTGAATAGTTAAGTAGTTCAGTTTAATAGTGAGGTCTGCATGGCGATGATTCTGGTATTTGTCAGATTACGAAACAACCGTAATGAAGCTAATTACGCTTGTTAATTTAGTAAGTTAATTGCCATCATGAGAATTTTCAAGTATTTTCGGACAGGCTTAAAGACTAATCTCTGATGCTGATGATGAACATGACATGATTTCGAAACCTATCGATTGTGACGTGATATTGCTTAGAATGAGCTTTACAGGACACTGTATGTTTCCATTGCGCGAGGTAATTGAAAAAATTGTGCAATCTTCAGCTTTTCGAGAGATGTCTATGGTTTCATTAGATATCGTCGAACTTGGTAAAAGAGCCAAAACACTGAAAAGGTGACGACGTTTAATTAAGAAATGTAAATAATTAATTGGGTTATTGCGCATAATCTCATACTGTGTGCACTGACTGAATTCTCACATTCAATGCGTTCTTGCTTACGATGCAGTGGACGTCAGGTGACTGCAAGGCTCCAAGGAAGAGACCGACCGCCGTTAAATATTTGCTATTTATGCGTTATGGAACAGCATTTTGTTTTATATTCTTCGTATCAAAAGAAGTGTTGTATTGTGCATCCGTATATGTACTATACTATGTTATTGCATTCGTGAAGATAACTTTTTTAACATTTAATTTGTTGTATGTTTTGCGAGATAATTTCATATGTTGTTCTTCAGCACTCTACTCGCGCCTTGCACGTTTTTGGGAAAATTTCATTGTGTGATTCTGTTCTCCAGCATTTTTGGCGCGCAGGCCATTAGCATTGTAGTATATTGAAAATAATAAGCGTTAATATTATTGTCCTTCGTAGCTTTGGAGTATTTCCGAAAAGCTTACTTTTCATAGAACAAAATCAACATCCGTGATCACATGAATTATTCTGCACAAAGCCTTGAGTACCTCAGGGGA